TTTTGATGTGCGAAGAACGTATCTCTTGACAAATCTGGCGCGCTCAAGTGGCTTTGAGTAGTAGGATCCCGGATCCGAGTTTCCGACACGCAGCAAATATCGATTCCTAAGGATTCCATTGTAAGAACCCTGAACACGTGATTGGCCAGTGGCCACTATCAGCCCTGTGCAACCTGGTCTACAACATATGACTGCAATCACATGTTTAGGAAATTTCTTTTATCATGATATTACACAGCCCAATTAAAAACATGACTGAAAAAATGAAAAATCCCCGCAAAAAAAGCGACCCAGAGGATATATTTCACCCCTTCCGGGGAATGCCCAAACGCCGAAAACATACGCTCGATTTCGAACGGGTGCGACGACAGTTTCAAGGACGATCGAAGTTCATTTTAATATCCAAAAACAAATTCTTAAAGAAGTACTCGGGTTCGAGGCTTGATCCTAATAGTCCAGGTTCCGTATTTGTATTTTGTTCTGCAGTTTGGTGCACTAACTGAAAGGGAGTTTATTGGAAAAATATATAGTGCCGCTCAGTTCAGCTAAGTTCAGATTTAGGCGAACACGCTGCTCCTGTATCCACTTTTAACCTCTTACCCCATCAAAAGACATTAAATAAAAGCAAATGGACGGACAGTAAAATGTCATGAAAGGAGCATGGTGATTTCAAAACTCCAGAACTCACTTAGGTCGTTGTGTCCGCAAAATCGTGCTTGTGCACCAAATCAGTGCCGCGTTCTGTTGACCAACGGGAAACTCTGCCGCGGCCTCGCCGGTAGGTGCCTGCTGATCAGGAGTTGGGCTGTGGTGGGCGGCTGTAACCATGAGGTATCCTGGAAGGGCCGGCAGCTATGGCATAATTCCCTGCCGATAGCTGGTACTGTCGCATAACATCTTCCAGTTGTTCTTCCTCCCGCGCAATATTGATCGCCTGCTGAATCGTCCGCGGTCTGCAGTGGTGGAACGTTCGGATCAGGCCGGCGTTCCGAACACCCACGTGTATCTGATGAAGGACGTTTTCTTCCCGGGCCTCTGGTAACAGCTCAGGAAACTCGTCGTTTCCCAATCGGTGAAGGACACGCACAAAAACGTCGAATGCTTCATGGGGTTATTCGACCCTAGTCTGAAACTGGAACTGTAGAAGCACGGGATTCTTGCGCGTAGTGAGGGCGGATCGTAGCTGAGTGAACGTATCGTCCGTGATTTCCTCATCCAGGATGCCATCCTGCAGTACGATAGCACGCGCCTCTGTATCCAGGAGAGATAACAAAACTCTCCGGCGGGAAGAAACAAATCCACGTAATTTTGTGCATCAGCTACCCGCAGCAAAAAAGTCGCCTCCGAGACAGAATTTGTCTGAAGCAGGGATGGTGGGGGCTGAGTGGGTTTGTACAAACCGTCCTGCGCTGACGGAAGATAATTGTATCAGTGGTTGGGATAACAGGCGTCCCAGGTGGTCTGTGAGTGAAACGCTTTTCGGTAAAGAAGCACAGTCGTCAGCGGATCTCTTTGTCATGTTCAGCTGGCAGGGTCGCCAATTTCGTAGCATACGAACAAGAGGGCGGATGAACGAACAATGTCGAACAATCCTTGTTTTTACCAGGATAGAACTGGCTGAAAAGGAGACACAACAGTTAGTTGCGTACACGCGGAATAACGGTCGTCGTCTAAAATCCACGAGGAAGAACACAAAGTCCAGAGACGACGTTTATTGGCGACAGTCAGAAGAGTCAAAACGGAAACGGTACAATCTGCCTATCTGGGCGTACGTGATTGAAGTCTCATGCACAATCGGTGAAGGAAAAATAGCAGTCGGCCTTTTATGTCACTGAAAATTGACTTTGACCGCGCGTGCTTGGAATTCTTGAGTAGAACGTTGCGCTACAGAATTAGGGCGACAATAAGAGGAGGAAACATTCGAGAGTCCATTTTCCAGTTGGAAAATTAGCGGAAGAACCATTTGTACCGAGCCTTCCGCGCTGGAGATCGGAACTGTGAATCTGGGAGCCACAACTTAGCGGAACCCAGGTGGCAGGAGCAACGTGACGAATTCCCGTCCAGGTTAGCGACTAGGCTACAACATTTACTGCCGAGAGTACTACCCAGAGTTACTTGTTCTTTTTTATCGTTTTTGTGTAGGGTTTTCATCTTTACACACCCCTGTTTTACCGGACGTAGTCGTGAACCGTATCTAGATAATTGCCATGGTAGCTCAGAGAAATCCTCCTAAAGGGGCTACACGAGCCAAGC